AAAAAAAAAAAAAAAAAAATGTTTTAGTAAAGGCACCAAAATAGTTAGGGGATGTAAATGGGTCGGTTTGGGTACGGGTTTTGGCAAACCGAACCCGACTTGCATATAATTTACACTATCCAAAACCGAACCGTTACCCGATTAGTGATTTTTGGGTTCGGGTTGGATTTTACCCGGCGGGTTCGTGGGTTTTCGTCGGGTAAATGGGTAACCCGAGTCTTAAATTTAGGTTTTTCCCGTTCTATCTCATTTCATATGAAAAAATAAAATAAAATAATTTCACAATTAATTTTAATGTAAGAAATAATTTATTAACTAAGTTTGACAATAAAAAACTATAAAAAATATATTATTTTTGGAATAAATAATGAGATATGATTATTTATCTTTTATCGTCTATTTAATATTATAACATTTAAAATAAATATTTTTTTATAATACAATTAACAAAAAATGATAATAAATTTAACCATTAATTAAAATTATAATAGATAATATAATTTTTAAACATAACACATGACTACTTTTATATTTATTACAAGTTATAAATATATATATGTATATGTATGTATGTATATATATATAATTCAATGGTTGCGGGTAAACGGGTGGGGTAATCGGGTCGGGTAATGGGTTTGCCTGATATACCCGCACCCGACCCGACCCGGGGTTCGGGTAGCATAATTCTACCCTAACCCGACACAAAACTTAATCATCTCGGGTTTATCCGACCCAAAAATGCGGGTAACCCGCGGGTAACCCGACCCTATCGGTTTTATTGACATCCCTAAAAATAGTTCGATGGATCAACTTAAATGGTTAGCTCCGGTAAGGCCGGTCCAAGGGGCTTAAGCTCGATTTGTACTATTTAAATATATATGGTATTGGTTAAATACCTCTAAAGATTTAAGAAATATTCTTAAGATGTTCAAGTAAGTTTGTGTATATCTACATAGTTATTCTGAAGGATCAGACTCACTAGTTATAAAAGAAACTCCTTGTCTTAGAGAGTAAGCAGTCATCCAACTCAATTTCTAATCCTAAGCACTCAATAAGATTCTCAATTACAGTACGAATTGAGATATTAGTTTTCTGACTTGAGCTGGGAACCGTTATTTTTTTAAAGGGGATGGCGTAACTTCCTCTACGATAATGTCGTGGAAGAAGGGGGCATCATGATCTTCAAACGTGTTGCCATCGAAATGTTTGATGTTGTTATTTTGTTAGGTAAGGATGTCAAATAATATCCTTTCCTCCTATGGGACATCGACCAATTGATGTTGATCCTCAAGATTTTATGACGTAGTTTTTTTTTTAATTAATATTATTAAATATTATGAAATAAAAAACTATTTTTATTCCAGTGTTTTAATTTATTATGGTAATAACGTCTTCAATTTATACGTTTAATCACAAAACAAGAATTTTCATACTAAATCGGCGAATAAATGAATAATATGCGACTTTTTTGTTTCTATGTCGCCGTTTTGGTGTAGAGAGTAAATTTCCAAAAAACAAATTTTAAGAAAAAATTATTCAACTGAGTGTTCTGCAGTTATTATGCGATTTTTTGTCACCTAACAGTCGTAGGTTTATATATATAACAAGAACAATCGTTTAAAATAAAATGTTTTGCGACTACAAGGCAATGGACACTCGATTAACCAAACTATTAACGGAATCTCTGCGCATTCGTTACATAACTTACGCACAACTTATTGCATAGTTTATTGCATAATATGTTCTCACCTTACGAGGTGAAAAAATTATCTACTTATTAATTGGTGATGTGAAAAACTTACTATATCTTTGTGGTTGGGTAAAATGATTATTCATACATGTCCCAACGAGAATATTAAACCAATACACGTGTATGATAAAAAGAAACAATTAATTTGCATGTACATAATAATTGTCTTATATAAAAATTTGAGACAACATTACAATTTACATCTTTTGAAACATATATATATATATATATCAGGAAAAAAAAGAAAAGAAAAAGAAAGCAGTAAATTAAAAGCCTACATATATAATAACTTGTGTAATACAAGCCTAGATAATTAAGTATACACACACATTTCTCTTACAAATTGGTTTCAAATCATATCATCAAACAGAACAATATTCATGGCTTTTTGATCACTTGATGGTCCCTTGAAGAACACAATGTCGAGCCAAGCGGTTGAAAGTTTATGTATCGGCTCGGAGCCGATGAATGCCTTCTTCCCTTCGGCAAACAGTTCTCCAAATTCTTGCCCCCAAATTCGACTTTCGGCTTAAATATTGTGTAATCTTCCAGTTTTGGCCCTAGGGGCCTAGAGATACAAGCACCAACCATGAACAAAATTAGGAGGGTAAAGAAGTAAATAATATTCATGAAGAATGGAGGTCTAGACATTTTTAATTTCTCCCTCTTTTTTT